CACTCATCCAAGTGACTTCTTCAGTCTCAGCTGACTGCAGGTTTCTCCAATCTTATAAACAGTACATTTGCATAATGACTGAAACCAGCCCACTGAAGGAACAATGGGCTGGGAGGTCAGTTCCTTCATCATAAATATGCATATTCTCAATGTTGATCAATGGTCATGAGAATTTGAGAGTATTATGCATTCTTCCATAATCTTTGGGTTTGTTCCTCTAAAAACGCCGCGATAACGCCGTTTCTTAAAAAACCCAGAGCAGACTCTTTCAACCTAAATAATTACTGTACCACTGCTAATTTCCCCTTTCTTTCAAAAAATCTCAAAAACGCTGCTGACGTGCAGGTTTGCTCTCACCCAGGGTAAATGAAGGGCGCCCTTACTCCTCGCAAATGGGCAATAGAAAACCCCTATGCAATTCCCAAAATGTGACGGCATGATGTTGGGGCAGCATGGGTACAAGCAACTTTTTTTTGCCGATGCCTGGCCGTTGCCCAGGCCGAGGCTGCCCTGGGCAACGGCCCATGCTGCCCATATCAAAAACCACCACTGCTCTCACCTTACTAACAATCATCTGTTTGAACAATTTCAGTCAGATCTTTGGCCACTTCACAGCACAGAGTGCTGTCAAAATTACAATTGGCCTTTAATACACTTTCTCATAATATTATTTTAAAGATATTAGAATCTGTTTGTACTGTTGGCATGTAACATGCCTGGTTTAAATCTTATCTCTAAAATCATAATCAGTATGTACAGCTAAAAAGATTTTCAGATCACAAGCTTGCCCAGTTGTCTTAGGTGTTCCCCAGGGCTCTTTCTTAGGCCCCCTTCTATTTGTTATTTATCTTTTACGTTTAGGTCACATGTTTAGGAAATCTGGCATAGACCTTCATTCTTATGCTTATGACACCTAGCTCTATATCTGCATTAAGTCTAATTCAGTTTCTTCTTCTCTCATTGACTGCTTACCTGAAATTAAACTGACATATTTCCACTCATGTAATATTAGTCAGCTACTCCCATCTCAGCTATTAGAGATGGGGGTAGCGTGTATGTAACTAGAGCTTGTATGTGTTGTAGTTACATCTAGTATTGATTGTTCAGATTGTGTCTTCTTTGGCTTACCACACAAACTTCTCGGTAGACTTCACCTGGTTCAAAATATGGCTTACTGTAAAATACCACATTCATTTTAAGATTCTTCTTCTTCCTTTCATGTATCTCCAGGACTGCAAGTCCTCCTTCACTGGGAATCTCCTCTGTGAGCTTCCTCGTTTCCTCCTGCCTGACAGCTCCAAATTCAGTATCCATTATCCCTCATCTGTACATGTCCAAATTATCTCACCCTTATTTTTTTTTTATGCTGATTGCCCTTACTGACACACCCTTGAAGGCATTTGTGACTCCTCTCAGGATCAAACTAGGAATATTTTGCTTGTTAAGCAACCAAAACCACTACACTATGGCTAGCCTTACAGCTGTGACAAAGCATTTATGCAGCCTTGTTAAAAAAATAGCTTCCCCTTCAAAAGTGTCCTCATCAGTCTGCTACTGGACCTTTCTGTGTGAGCGCTTTGTGACTGTTGGGAGCACATTTAATAGGTTACCTGACCAATATTATGGCTTGCTGTGTGTAACAGACCATCCCAGAAGCTTGTGCTTCAGATTCTGTGAACGCAGGTCTAGTGTGTTATTAGTCTCCTGCTTAGCCATAATTAGCTGATATGTGTGGCTCTGCATTGCACGGGAGATTGCTAACAAAGATATCTAGTATTAGTTGATAAATTAGCGCTTCACCATTTCATCTGGATAAAATAATTCTGTCTTCAAAAGAACAAAAGCAAAAACCAAAGAAACAAACAAACAAAACAACATGGTGCCCAAGTGCTAATTCTAAAGCTTGAAAATGCAGCCCCCAAACCCACTAGGTGGTATACCCATCTTTAATGCTGTCCATGGTCTATACGTAATTAAACTGATTGCCTATGACTTTATTGGTACTAGTTTACTTGCCTGCATTGGATTACCTGTTCTTTCTGCCCAAATATTGAGGAATATAGCTGTGCATGCTTTTTTGAATGCAGTCACAAAGTGACAAAAACGCTCTACTCCACACAGCTGGGCAGTCACAACCTGACGTGTGGGTGTATGCTGGATTGAGATTTTGGAGAGATCCTAGATGTCGATTACAAAAAGGTGAGGAGGAACAGGGTCTCTGATGTAGTCTGATAATGTTTTTGTTCTGTTGTATCGGGGCTTATACTGGTAAATAAAGATGAGATTTAATTTATTTGAACAAGGATGTGCAAGGAAATGAAATGTAGGCTTGAGTGAATAAAACAGGGCTGAGGTGATTAAGGCAAAGACTTTAATATAAGTGCATGTATAAAGATATTTAGTTATGGTGTATCGGTGAATCTGTGTTATGTGTGTGTGCGGTGGAGAGCTGGGGAAAGCAGGGCTTATCTGTTGTCATTTTGTGTCTCTCCCTCAGGATCAGACTTGTGTCTTATTAATGAAAAACTCATCAGATATCAGAACAGCTCCCCGAGGAACCGAGCACGGTTATGAGACACATGTCAGACCTCGTTTAAATACTGCAAGTGTGTGTGTGTGTGAGAGAGAGTGTGAGTCAAGAGGAGAGACTGCAGAGTGGTATTTAATTTTCCAAGATGAAGGATTATCACTGGCAGAATTTGATCATTCTGCTCTGATCTCAGGATATTCAATCACAGCTTATCCCAAATATTAAACTCTGTCTTTTGTCCCCTTTCCTCTCAATCCCTGCCACACACATACAGACACACGTACACGCACACACATGCATGCACTACTCCAACTGCCAAGCCTCTCATTGAGTAAAGTGGCCCACTGAGCCTACTTTCAGGATGGTGCGGGTTATGTGATTGTTCAGCCACCTGCTGACCTCAGGGAATGGGTGAGTCAAGGGGAGGAAGGGAGTGAGGGAGGCAGAGAGGGAAGGAAGGTTTTGAAGCCAGGCTTTAGTATCTTATGGAGGCGGCTAAGGAGAGTAAATTAAAAAAAAACAAACTGTTACATCTAATCCGGAGTGCTGAGAACAAGTGGCACACACTCCTAAGTCTGATCCCTCATGTTTACATGGATCTGCATGAGCTTAAACACACGCAACATACACATGCCCCTCCCTAAATAATACACACGCATGCAAATGTTCTGTGATTGTGTCCCAGGCAAGAGGGAGGGAGGGAGGGAGCGAGGGAAGGGAGGTTCAAGGTCCCGATCTCCACTCTCATTTTCAGCCAGGGGATCGGCACCCAGGACATCTGGGTCACATCATTACTGCAATCTTCTGCTTGTTCATTCCCAGCTTTACGGGGGCTTAGAGCGGCAGACCTGCTGAGAAACACATGCACGTAAACACACAAGGATGGAGACGTGTGCACAGTGTGTGACAGTTGTGAACAGTGAAATAAAACAACGTCTTAAAAGGGATTAAGGTGATTGGGGTTGTGTTTGGTAACACGCAGATTTCAGGATGCGGTGAAAAGATTGATCAGCACACATAAACACATAAATATGTGTCAGTCAATATGTTTGTAAATACAAATTATGAGAAGAATTAACACAAGATTCCGCTGCTGCTTTCAGTACTTTCATTTATTTATTTATTTCACTTTAAAAAAAATGTTTAGAGCCGCATTAGAGCAGGGCCGTTTAGTGCAGCAATATCGCCCTCTACCGGTGGGCAATGGTTTCACAGCAAACAGCACCTCCACGTGATAATCGACAGGAGGCAGTGTTGAACAATATTGCTGGGAGAACGGTAGGCTGAAGTTGCTTTTAGCTCCCTGGTCAAAAACATGTTTTACTTTGTTGTGGTTGTTTTCTGTGGCATGCAGATATTACATGTTGATTATTATTGGGTTAAAATAGGAGGTTAACTTATGCAGTAACAGCATACACATTTTTAACTTTTTTACCAGTCATAGCCAGTGCTTATTTTGGTGTGGTTGTGTTGTATCATTTGCAACATATTTGCAGCGTTCATAAAGAAATCAAACAAAACAAAAATAACAGAAACTAGAAAAGCATCTAAAGCAAGCATAATAACTGTGCCTTTTCATTTTTTTTCATGTCTTTATGTGTTATGTAAATCACTTTGAATTGCCTAGTTATATAATCTGCTTTGCTTTCCGTTTGTGCAACACTTCTATTATTATTAGAGACTCTAAATAGAAAAGATGGATGTCTGCTCATGTTTTAATTATTTATTTATGTAAGCTTCCAGTTCAGTTTTGTATTGAGTGCTGTCCAATCTATACGGCAAGTACCGGTATATGATATAGAAATAGCAAGGATATGCTCAATTCTAGCTATTTCTAGCAGGAAATTGAAATGCTAAATGTTATGCTCATACTGGGTTCCAGTTAAAAATACACTTCTTAATCACATTCATCCCGAGGGAAATTCTTTTGTCATACACATGCTCAATGCAGCAAGAGACAGAGGAACAGAGGAATAAGATATACAATAGAATACTAGTATACAGTAATATACAGTAGTGCAAAATATAATATCAAATAACTTTAACAAGTAACAATATAACTATATCCTGAAAAATAAATAGTTTAGCTATCAGTGCAGGTGATTCTAAAAGTGTCATAGTATTGTGCAAATAGCACATAAGTAGCAGCATATGTTGGCGAGATGAAACAAACATTCCATGAAAAACTGTTGGGTGACATTGCACGGCCTGAATGGAAACAGAATAACTTTGTTATTAATCCTCAGGAAAATCACCCACAGAGGGAGGAAGAGTCTTACTGCCACCGGCACAAAGGATTTTCTGTGGCGGTCAGTTCTGCATTTCGGGGAGGCGTGCATGGGGTGGGACGGGTTGTCCATGATACAAAGAAGCTTTTTTAGCATTCTCCTTTCAGATGACACTGGTGGTCTTCATTAGCTAAGATCGCAGCAGTTGCATTTAATCGCAAGGCAGGAAGTATTAAAGCTGCACTTTTAAAGCAAAGAAAGTGAAGATAAACGTGTAAAGAACAGCTGGAGGGTCGTCGTGTCGACAGATAATCTCCAAATATCAGGCTGCAACTCCCGTCTACAGGTGAGGCTGAGACTAAAAACTCTGCTCCAGGTGAGGCTCGAACTCACAACCTCGGCATTGCTCTGCTGTATACTGTCATATAAGTACCGCGCGCTAACCGATTGCGCCACTGGAGCTTCGGCGGAAGGCCGCCAGGAAATCGGTTTAAGAAGGCGCAACTGCCCGGAAGCGGTGAAGAAACAGAACTTTTGGTAAATTACGTTTTGTTTATCAAATAGTGCAAGCGCACAATGTATGCAGACTGTATCAAAAGTTCATGGGACCCCGGTTGTCCGAGTCTAGAAGCGAAAATATCCCAAATAGCCGACTCACGTGCTGCGTTCAGGGACCTGACACAAAGCTCGAAAAACCTGTGGTAAACCTAAAAACAAGACAGGCAACAAAACGTGAGCAGTGGCACGCAGGCATGCGGTGACTTTTGAAGAAAGGTATGCAGACACACACACACACACACACACACACACACACTTTCCTCCACTATTTAACAGTTTAACAAGCAAATGCCCATACTGTACCGTACACAAGCATGGATGTTTGCAGTTTTCAGTTTTATTTGTCATATGCAAGTTAGCACAGGGTCAACGTCGCAATGAAATGTCTTTGAAGAGCAGAAGACAGTCACTCAGCCGAATGGTACAGTAGAAAAAATAATAATAATAAAAAATAAATAGAAAAATAGTAAGAGCAAAATATTAATAAGATGTAGTAAAAGAAAAAAGAGAACCCCTATCCTTTCTGAGAAACTGTAATTTATGTTTTACTATCTACTGTGTGAACTATGAAAACACCTCACTACACATAAAAACGCATTAATGGAAAATTGTGCATTACAGTACAACAACTGTTGTACAGCACAAAAAGTAAAATTACATTTTGTGTAGAAAAATGTTCCATATCAGTTTTAAATAGATTAATAATACTGCTCCATATGTTTAATGCTGAGCTCATATTAAATGCTTTATGTTCTGTTTAATATCCAGCATCATATTCTTTAAATCACGTTTGTAGTGGATGTGCTGTGAGGGCCACATATCTATGAAAACAAAACAAAGCAATAAAGGAAAACATGTTGGCAGGAAAAGCTCTCCTTAAATAACACCAACAGCTTAAATAAATACATGAAAGACCAAGAAAAGAAAAAACTTCTTCCTGGAAAAAACTGCAAAGGAAATGGAGAGGAGGATCGAGTGATGAAGGAAATGTTTCAGTCAGGACTCATTAGCTAATGTTAAAGTATATGTATACACTGATTTGGTACAAATATATAAATATGACACTGCTTCGCATGCTGGCCACGTATTCACACCACAAAACAAAAATCTGCTCGCCCTCTCAGCATAGCTCACGTTATTGTTAATGGGAGACAGACACAACTGTAGAGTGAAGACAGCTGTCGTTTCCTATGAGTAAGAAACAAGCAGCGCTTTCAGTGACAATAGCTAACTGTGGCCACAAGATGACAGTAATACAAAGGATGACTCTTTATGAGATGAAAGAAGCTTTACTTTGTTATGGTTCATCTATTTTTAGACTTTCCAAGGAAAGCACTACCTTTCTTGCTTCATGTTAGTGTTTTAGAAAACCAGAAGTATTAGTAAGTATCTATTAACACCTAAAAGCTTTACACTTTATTCTTTGAAAGTAAAAACACAGATAATTGTTTTAATCAATGTGTTGGCAAGGTTTTGAAAGCACAGCTGCACTTATATGCTTAAAAAGCAAACCATAAATACATTTAATTAGCATGCTCCATGTTAATGAGTGAAAAGGGAAATCTGCAATTTCATTGTAGTCTAGAGCAGCATAAAGGAAATCATTCCCCTCTTATAATTATACCAAACAAGCTGCAGCACTATAAAAATGCAAAGCAAAATGTGAGGCTAAAAGAAAAACAAGAGCAATTTAAGAAATATGAATAATGAGGAAAAACTCTTCACGGCACTGTAGGAGTACTCCGATTACTTGATGCATTAAAAAAATAAAATAAATAATTAATGAGCTCACTGTGTACAGAATTTCCTACTGTTGACATTGTAGCTTAAGAAGGCACACACAAAATTAAATCATTCCAGTTTGGATAATACTAGAGTGAAGAAAAACTTGCGCCACTGTGAAAGCCATCTTTGCTCAAGTAGTCAATGCCCAGAGAAGTTTTTGCTTGCTACACTAAAACAGATTAAACTATAAAAAGAACCAGTGTGAAGATAAATGCAAAAAAAGGCAGTAGATCATCCACAAGGAAATTGAATCTTTTAATGTGAGAGTAGTCTTCCGTCTGTACGATAGAGTTTAAAGTCTAGTTATCAAAATTTCAGGCAATAAATAAAATTGAAACACTACAAATGAGTACAAGTCTTTTATTTTGTTGCAGACTCAACAATAGTCAGAGTAATATTTTAAGGTCAATTTGTTGCATTTGTTTGTCTCATTCTATAAATCCGCAACCTGCACGTGTAATGGCTAGTAACATTTGAGCATATTGCCTCAAGCAAAGAATACATTTTAAGATCAAGACATTACATGGACCCACTCCATCGTCAGACCCCGGCCTTGGTCTGGCTGTTGGCTGGCAGTGGCTTGCCCATGTGGATCCCCACTGTGAGGCCAGACTCTTTGCTGGCATATTTCTCTTTGACCTCAGGCTTCAGCAGGAAACCCTTCTCCTTGTCAAAGTAGTCCAAGGGAGCAAAGTACACAGTGGCTTCCCCACAGAGGTTTTGCAGCCGTGTGCGCCAGCCCTCCAGCATGGAGCTGCGAGATTCAGGAGAACCAGTAGCAGGATCCCAGAAGATCTGAGGGGCAAAAACCTGGAAGCCACAGTAGTTCAGGATCCCGTTCTGCACACAGGGAGGAGCAGCTGTTACCACATGACAGGTCATTTCATGCTTGGCTCTGTTTATAGTGAGACCTCACCTGCAGTGGCCACAGTGTGACATTGATGTCACCATTGATGCCAGTGTCACTGTACACAGATTCAGGACAGTCAGTGGTGAAGGACAGCATGGCTTTCTTGTCCTGTACAGAGAGCAAGGAGTGAGCAAAGAGGGAGAGGACACAGCCTGAACACAGACATGTCAGTGGAGCTCTCACCTTGAAGATGCCCTCACTGTACCGCTTCTCCTGTGCGTAGGCAAAGCCCAACACCCGATCCATCCACCCCTTCATGATTGCAGGAACAGATGACCAGTACATGGGGAACTGGGAACACAGGTTTAATGGTCATTTTGATGGACACCTGTTAGCTGACCACAAAGACACTTCCAGTCAGACACTACCTGAAAGATGACAAGGTCTGCCTCCTTGAGCTTCTCCTGCTCTTTTTTGATGTCATCTGCAAGTCTGCCCTCCTCTGATGCCAATTTGATCTCTTTTGCGTAGCAGAAGTTCTCAGCATCCTTCACTCCACCTGTGACAAAAATCCAGTGTTTGTATCTGAAAAGCAATCAGAGCTAAAGCATTGCTATGCCTGCAGAATATTTGTATACCAGTTATGTCCTCAGTAGTAGCAGCAGCTTTGAACTTCATGGCGTACAGGTCAGACACCTCTACAGTGCAGCCTTGAGCAGTCAGGGCTGCCACAGCAGCATCTTTGGCAGCAGCATTGAAGGAGGCTGGGCTCTCATGGGCATACACAATCAGCACTTTCTTGGCTGCAAAGCCAAAGAATAAAAACACAATACATAAAGTTCCATTCAACACACAAAGCTTTCCAGAAGCTTTACTAGGAAGAAAGAGTCTTACCCATTCTCAAAACTGGTGCACAACAGTAACTGATGCGTTTTCTGTCTAACTGGTATAACAACAGAAAAGGTGCCCATACTGGAGCAAAACACACCTGCTGCTTTTATACACACTTCGAGCACTACTTCACACAGGTGCTGTCAATCAGCAATAAACCTCAAGAGTCAGCCAGCTGGTACTGCGGCATTTTCTCTCAGACCAGTTGGTGGCGGTAATGCTCTATTTTGCTGTTTGCCAACTGCCAATAAACCGTATAAAGAAGTAGAAGAAGAATTTCTCTCAGGTTTCCCATTTTGTATGGAAACTGGTGGAAGTAACTCTGAGATTAACCTAAACCTTCAGCCCAGTTTAAACACAAGATGAATATATACTTCATATAATCATAATCATCTTAGTTTCACACACATCATTTTCTCATGGTGATTGTTGCCCAACTTAGTGAACCAATGATTTGCCTTACGCCCTGCGGTCTGAGGACAAAAAAGGTACATAAAAACACACACACACATACAGCCAGAAATCTGACTTTGAAGGAAAAACTATATCTCGATGGTTAATAGCTCGCATTGGTCGACGAAAAAGAAGCAGAAGAAACACAGAGAGGTACAATTCTGGGTTTGTTAATCTCTATTTTGAATGTTGCTCGTTTTTAAAGATGCGATTAAGTCTGTTGGCATTTTCAGTGTGCTCAGCATTTATCGCTTTCATTAGCTGAAAGTTTATGCTCCAGGTGAGGCTTGAACTCACAACCTCGGCATAGCTCAGCCTAATACTGCCATATAAGTACCGCGCGCTAACCGATTGCGCCACTGGAGCACATGCTCAAAGATTTTATTCCGTTCTCCCTTCATTCAACTGGTCTAAGGGAAAAAACAGGGGCACAGAAACAGCTTAGTCAGTAACTCATAGGACAAACGCTTTACACTATACTATATTGCCACAAATCTCACGCTTGTAGTCTATGTACTATATATAGGATTAATCGATAGATGCATTGTAACAGCAGTCTGGCGAGGGAGGAGCGGCTAGCAGGTTCAGCAGGCACCTGTGGTGTGGAGGTTAGCCGGATAACTCAGAGCCAGTTAGTTAAACAGACCTTTATTTGATGTTAGCAACATAAGACCATACAAGCCAGGTCCCACGGCTCTACCCTGTCCGTTCATACATGTGCGGGGATCGGTAGTCGCCGGCGCCAGCCAAATTACAGCGGTAAGGTTTCTCTGAACAGCAATGCGATCAGCATGTAACAGGCCACCACTATACTCCCACACCCACTAGGGGACTCCCCCAACTACAATAATAGTAGGGCAGTGGTGCTATAATACAATAAGGTTTGTCACAGCATGCATTAATATATGTGGGGAATCAGGTTTGTTTTTTCTATACATCTATGTTACAAATGTTTTTTTTTTCAGTCTGTGCACATTTGTTTCAGATCATTTCTGTTTCCCTTTTTTCATATTTCACTTTTATTCTTTA